GAGCTTTTGGGGCCTAGGGGCTGCTCAGCCGGCCCCTCCTCACTCTCCTGGACACTGAGCACTCAATGGGGAGCTGTGCTGGGTGGGGGCCGGTGGCTGGGTAGCCGTGTTGGCCCCTCCCCGCCCGGGGTCTGTGTCTCACGGCCTGTCTCCTTCTGCTCCCAGAGCCCACTCTGCCCAAGCCCGTCATCAGCCCCAGCGGGGAGGTCTCCCTGGGAGGATATGTGTCCATTCGGTGTCGGGGGCAGGGCCTGGGCGTGCGGATCGTGCTGAATAAAGGGGGACGCCATGTTGCACATGTGGATACGGAGAAGTCGGTGTTTGAGTTTCCCATCAACAACGTGCGCCGGGAGCAGAGCGGGAACTATAGCTGCTCCCATCACAGCAGGTCGGAGCCATTCGTCACGTGGAGCGACTCCGTGGAGCTGCTGGTGAGAGGTGAGGGGCCCGTCTCGGCATCCCTAGGGTTACCATTCGTCCGGATTCCCCCGGACATGTCCGGCTTTTTTCAGTTAAAAATAGCGTCCGGGGGGAATTTGTCAATGTCCGGACTCCCCCGCCCCCATGCAGAGCGTGCGGGGCTTACAGGGCAGCCGGCCAGATGGTGCCACTCGCACGGGGCTCCGGCAGCCAAACCCCTCCTCCACTTCCCCCCTCCTCTCTCCTGCAACTTGAGACCACTCCCCTCCTCTCCCTCCCTCCCCCCACCCTGCATTCACAGATTGCCATCGCCTCGGCCTCCGGCAGTCTGGAGCTCCGAGCCTGCTCCCCTCCCCTGCTGCCGAGCGCGCTGCTCTGCAGCACAGTAAGGGGGCCGGGAGTCAGAGAAGCGGCAGAGAGGTTCGGGGGGGGGTAGTCAAGAGACACGGAGCAGGGGGGAGGGTTGGATGGGTCAGGAGTTCGGGGGGGGGCTGGTCTGGGGGTTGGGGGTGTAAGGTTTTGGGCAGAGTACAGGTGGGGGGGTCTCGAGGAGGGGGCAGGTTAGGGGGACAAGGGCACGAGGGGAGGCGTTAGGGTAGGGGGGTGGAGGGTTCGTGGGA